GTTTCAAGTCCTCCAAAGTCATATATAAATATTTTTTGGTAACTTTCCAATAAGGTCTCATTTGTTAAGATTATTTAATGTGTTAACTAACATTACCCCACAATGAGCAATACATTTGTTACAATTTGTTATTAACATTAGTTAATAAAAATTAAACTGTTTATTGTTTGTTCCCAATGCTAACAAATGCAACATTTGATTTAATTAATGTATTAGAAATAATAATAACTAAAAAAAACTAAGATTAATAAATGCTGTAGAAATATTGTTTATTCTTATTTTGATGTTAAGTAGTTGGCGAATGTTTACTAATGAAACCGTATTGTAAAGTCTTACAAAATATATATATATTTTTTTTTTTGATAAGTCATTATTTATGAAAATCAGGCCTTAAAAGTCTTGCCGGGTCATGGTCAACATTCACTTTCACTGAATGAAAAAGAGAAACTTGGACATCTCCTTCTAGTGATACAGATTAATAACAGTAAATAATCATTTTTATTTTTGGGTGAGCTATTTTTTTTATACATTCGAAAGAACAAACTTCAGATTTCATGGGTTTGAATTTGACCTGTGGCTAAATTTGTCTTCTGAGAGTGAGTAAAGTAAATATCACAAGTATCTCACAGACTCAACCTGTGAACACCGAGTAAAAGAATGTGTGACATGATCCGTATTTACCGTCCTTTTGCCAGCAGGACCTTTTTGGCCTTTGAGAGGTCTCATTTGATTTGGCAAAACAATTCAAGATCCTTTCAGTTTTACAGACAAAGACGACACAGTGTGCTTGGAAACCTGTACCAGGACACTCTAATTCTGTTACCTTAGAGATCCTTGTTGGGGGTAAAGAAAGTATTTGAGCATGAAGTACTCTAAGAGTCAGCCAATTCTCAGTAGACACTCATGCATCTCATATTTCTCAAGCTGGCACGTCTGATTTGAATTTCTTATTGTTTTGGGAAAAATTGATGGTCTTGGTGAAATGTTCCCAGCAGTCGGTTTCCATCACCTTTCCCCTCTACCACAGGTGGTGGAGATTTCAGATCCAAAACACACTGACATCTTCTCTTTCTAAATAACCAGAAGACAATGAAATCAAGTTATCCGTCAAGACCTTGTAGAACTGCAACCCAAGTGCTAACACAACATTGACCAAGTCTTGACATTTCGCTCACAACAGGGATTCAGGGCAGTGCCAAAGACAAACACTGCTTTTAGACATGAACATTGCTACACATATTCAGCGTAACGTTATACAACTTGACAAGATGTTTTTAATTCTATAAGTGAATAGGACAATATTGGAATTTTCCCAAGGAAGGTGGGAGACGATCCAGATTAGCATTATATTCACACTGTTTGCCATTTCTCATCATTCTCCCTAATTAGGATCTAACGAGGATGCCACTATTAAGCAAGTTATTCTGTAAAGTGATTTGCAACTATACGTGTACTGTAATCAGGATTCGACAATGAGGCTAATGATGTGCAAATGATCCATGGCTTCATCTTTAATAAAGGTAATTTTTCATTAAAGAGGAAATATCATGCTCTTTTACAGAGTCTTGATTTTGTTCTTAGGGTCTACTTGAATATGTTTTCATGCTTGAATGTTCAAAAAACATGATTTTTCACATATTTTACATTTTGAGTGCAGCACCCTCTTCTCAGTCTGACAGTATCGCTCTGGGGTGCGTTTCCCGAAAGCATCGTTAGCCAACTATGGTCGCAAGTTGGACGCAATTTCCATTGAACTCTATTGGTAACGACGGAACTTGCGACCATAGTTGGCTAACGATGCTTTCGGGAAACTCTGTTTAGTTCATGCCTCTATGAAGCCATTCCTTCTGAAAAGCGCAGTGTACTCTGATTGGTCGCCTGGACCAGTGTGTTGTGATTGGTCAACCGATTTGAGCATGCTTTAAGCATCACAACCGTGAGTTTCAACATACTACTAGCACAACTCAACTAGGGCTGTCACAATATCAGATTTTTTCCAACACGTTCTCATCCTAGGGCGTCATATAGTGACGCTTTTTGAAATTTCGTCTAAATCCAACACACATGGCACCGTTTAGCATCAATATAACACGCACAGAGCTTTGTTCGGTTATGGGTAGGTTTAGGTCTGGGGTAGGGTTAGGGTTAGACCACTAGGAGGCGCCAAGCAGACGAAATGTGCGTTGGATGCAGACGAAATGTCAAAAGCCTCAGTATCTGACGCCTTGGGATGAGAACGGGCAGATTTTTTCACACTGCGGTTATCGTGGCCAAAAGAATTCATGGTAATGATATATCGTGAGTTTGCGTACTTATTTTGTGTTTCACTTTCTGTTTTAGCCAATGAGTCACACCATTACATACAATAATTACAACAATTGAGACTCTGGCTTTCTCTGGGTTCTTTGACACTGCCACAAGAGAGAAAATACTGTCTAAGTTCTACAGTATTATAAATAAGCTCATGATGCCTTTGGACTTTAAACATTGTAGACTCATTTAGAAGCTTGCCGTCATAGCGCAGCTGAGATCTGAACAGCACACATTGCTATTTGTGTTTAAACTAAACTAATTCGAGCCTTGCCAATTTAAACTTTCAAGTGCAAGAAGACACGAACAAGAACTTGAGCGCTCTATGAGAAGATTGTGTACGCGGCTACGCGCCCTCATCCGAAACGTGTTTTTAATGTAAATCACACAACAAAAGACAAGGAAATCACTCGCTGGTCTTCACTGAATAGCTTTTGTAACTTTAATAATGATTAATCTTTATTTATTTCCTACAGTGAAGATTCTATGTTGTTTTTACGTTTGATTACATTATACATTTTCTGTACCTGGAAACTTTTGCAGTTGCTTGTATTTGAATAATTTGTTCTTATTTATCCCATAATACAAACTGAACCGTACCGAAACCCTAAAACCATGATAAAAACTGAACAGTGAGTAATTTAATCAATTACACTCCAAATTCCCATACATCAAGACAAAAAAAAGTATGGGCATTCATTCAGCAAATGCTGGACGGCATCCAGAGCGCTGGGGACACGGGGAGACAGCTTCGTCATTCAGGCAAACACAATGGATCTCTTTCTAATGGGGTCTTAAATTGTTACGCAGACTCAGCCTTCACATTCTATAGGCATCAGAAGATGACTCATAGAGCAAAAAAAGAGAGTCAATGGCGAAACAGTGGCGATAATGATGAGAGGCCCACTATGACTACTGATGCTACTCGAATCCGTCATTAGCCAGCAGCAATCACCCTGTTGTGTAGCCAGAGACTGTAGCAGGGTTGAGCCTGGTCAATACCGGGATGGGATTCCTCCTGGGAAAACCAGGTTGCTGCTGGAAGAGGTGTTAGTAAGGCCAGTAGGGGCTCACTGTGTGGTCTGTGTGGGTCCTAACGGCCTAGTAAAGTGATAGGGAAGCTATACTGTCAAAGAGCACCGTCCTTCAAATGAGACGTTAAGCCCTGGCTCTATGTGGTCATTAAAAATCCCAGGATATCCTTCGTAATAGAGTAGGGGTTTAACCCCGGCATGCTGGCCAAATTTGCCCATTTGCCTCTGTCCATCTTCTAAGCCCCCATATTATATACAGTATATCCTGAGTGTCGTCTTCACTTCGTCTCCTGTCCAGCAATAAGCTGGTGTGGTGTGTGTGGTGGTCTGGCGCAATACCGTCACATCATCCATGTGGATCATGATGCACAATTGTGGTGGTTGAGGAGATTCCCTCCTTCTATGTGAAAAGCTCTATAAATGTAACTACTAGACAACGGCTATGTCCCAAAGCCTAATAAGCTGACTACCTAGACAGCATTTTGAGCTTAGGCACCTCTGTGTTTAATAATGTGATGTTGTTAGCCAAATTAAAATTGCACTAAAGCTAAAATGACACTATTTATATAATTGTTTATAAACACACACATTTTTTCAATTATACTTAAATATACAGTATATGATTTGAAGAAGACATTGAAGATTCAGGGTTTTATCTGACAAGATTTGTCAGATAAAACCCTGAATTTGATCTTAAAGCTATTTTTGTCAGGTCATGTGTGACTGCTAACGTTTGCATAGCAATGTGTGACCTCTACTTGTGCTTTCATGCATTGCATTCATAGAGCATTTTCACCTTCAATATCCATTTATAGCTGCATTTGCCACTCTGAAATACAAGAGTACAACGTAGACAGTTCAGCAATTAATGAGTGCTGATTTCAGACACTAGTCTAAAGTGAAAAAAGAAAAGAAAGCCATTAAGCCAAACTAGATCATCTTACAAACATTCGATCCAGCACGTACTATGCGCACTTCTACTTTCTATGGCTAAGTCATGGGGAACTGGCGTACCGACAGATTTGACAAACACACCAGCTTTATAATTATCATTAACAAACTATACAGTTAAACAAAATAGTTTGAAATGTCATTAAACTTTAATTCATTCTGTATAGTCACTTAGTGGCCACCCCAAGTAGTATTAAACTGAATAAAACAAATAATGCTAAAGCTTTTCTCAAAACTAAGCCATTTTTAAAATACATGTATTAACAGTATCTATTGATCATTAAAAACACACTAATCAACTTTAAAAGCAAAACTTTGCTGGGAAAGTGTTTGTGCTAGGCTCCATTTTCTTTTAAATAAATTTGGTTTTGCCATTTGGTTTGTTTTTCTTTCTTTTCTAATACATTGATATTCCAATTATTAACAGAGACAGACCAATACCAATATTCATTTCATCACTAATTTATAAATTCATTATTAAAGATTATAACATTGATGACTCTCACAGTGTTCACAGCTTCCTATTTTAAGGTATTGTTCGCATTTTGCACAGACACTGGGTGCATGAATGAATGAATGAACGAATGAATGAATGAGTCAGATCACACACACACAGGAGGTGTCTTCCACCACGCAAATGACGTCACAGAACAGTGACGTCTAATCTAAAGGGATGTGAATGTGCTGCAGAGAGTCTTAACTTACCTCCACCATTTTTGTAGCACAGGTACGGGAAGCGCCAGACGTTCCCCAAACCCACGGCGAAGCCCACACAGGACATGATGAAGTCCATCTGTCTGGTCCAGGTCTCTCGCTCGGGGTAGCCCTGCCTCTTCTCCACCGCAGATATGGCTCCAGTGGCCGCTGATACGGGTCCCCCGTTGAGGGTCCCATTGACGCCTTGATGCGCGTTTCCATTGGGAATGAGATGGCCCTTCTTCTCCTCCACCAGGACCATGTTCAGGGCGCAGTCTGCGTCCAGAGAGGATTTCTCCATCTCTCGTGTAAACAAAGCAAACCAACCTCCTCACGAGACTCGAGAAGGGCTTAAATTAGCAGTCAAAAATAAATATTTGATCTCTTATTGTTTCTGGACTAAGTCAGTTTCAGTTTTTTTTTTTTTACACCAATATGTCCCTTTTGTTCCTCTTTAGGTGCACAGGATCTGGTCCTTTATCCTTTTATTTAATAAAATCAGCTGTTATTCTTAACGAATTTTTGTATAATATTTTTTTCCGTTGGCAGTTTGATTTTCTCGGCGAAATTGGCAACGGTTTTGTTGGTTGGTTTTTATCAAAAAGCGCGTTTGTAAAATAAATAGTAGACTTTAAAAGAAAAAAAGACACCGCTTTAAAACAGCACCTTCAAAAACAATCCACGAAACACTTAAAGGTGAGTCTGAAGAATCGCATGGGAACGTGAATCTCTCAGAGAGAAGGCGACTGCGGAGACGGTAAAACCAAAGCGGCCCTAGTCGCTCGCGGATCAGATGAATGTAATGGAATTACATTCACGAATTGATCGCCTAAATCTCTTCAGACCATCGTTCTCATCGCTATTAAACACCCAGAATGTATAAATGAGACGCTATTCGGTGTCTACAGGAGGTGCGGCTGCTGCTGCTGTCCCTCTGCGTGCTGCTGACTGACTGAATGATGCGTACGCGCGACGCCGCTCGGTGTTTTAACGGGCTCGGTAACGTCATTTGAAGCTCATCCCTCCCCCTCAGTCCCGCTTAAGGAAAACAGGGAATGGAGAGCTCACGTACGCCGCACACTACACACTGTATACTGCGTACTACACAGCAAGTGCGATTCTAGCTCAATGGCGCAGCTGCGCGAGATCAGATGATTTTCAGTGCAGTAGCCTATGATCGCCACACAACGCATTTTAAAATCATTTAAGAAGAATAAATCAAGGACAGTTCAATGCGATGTGACTTATACAGAAGAATAGATTGATGTATACAATATTTTGTCTTTTCCAAAAATCTAAATGAGAACCACACAAAATTAGCAAATAAAAAGTGAATTATCAAAATAATTAGAAAGGCCCGACAAATAAAAAAAAAATAAAAACAGCTTGTTTTCAAACACTGTTAAAATAAATATTAAAGACTCGAGGAGCTGGAATAGGGGGATGGGGAGCAAAAAAGAGCATTACCCATCATCAAAAATCTGTAAAAAAAAAAAAAAATGATTATAAATGAATTTAGAATTCTTTTACCATTACATTTCACATGAACTATGCTTATCTGTCAACCTTAAATAATAAAACAAATACTTATATAATATAATACAATATAATTTTAATTGTAAAATAAAAAAATACATATTTTTAAATATATATATATTTTTATTTAGTCTTTTGGGACTAGAAAGACATCTTATCTGGGAAGGGACTTTTTTGCATGCGGGCAGTCTGTCAGTAGGTGTATGGTATAGCATTCCAAACATACCCACAGCAGGCCACGTAGTGCCGTGAGGACTATTATTCATAAAGTACACCCATGTTTTTTTTTTTTTGTTTTTTTTTTGCATTTCAAAGTACATAAGCCTCTGTCTAACCACATGAGATCCTGTTCCATCTGGAAAATTACAAACTTCCATGAATCACTGCAGAGTTTTTTTATTGATTTGACATCAAGAGCGATAACACACAGACAGACACACACACACACACACACACACATATACATATATATATATAGACATCTAGACATAATTCACTTTTATCTATTTTACCAGTTTCTAGTTATTGTTAACTACAAGAAAACTATGTTATTCACAATAAGTGTAGTGAAGATAATAAGTAGAAACTCAGTCTATGTGGTAGTCTTGGATTTATCACCAAGTTCACTCAGGTGTGTCGGCCAGAACACCTCTTAAGGCTAAATGTTCCAGAGTATGAAATAAAGAGTGGAGAAATACTTCTGATTCTGTTTCTTTATTCCTCTTTCTTGTAATTCTCTGAACATGTGTGTGTGTGGTTTCTATAAAGAGAGAAACAAATTACAAATGAATAAAGCAAACAATAATCAGCATATGCAGTATATCTATTAAACTCTAATACTGTAATGTAAAGATTCAAACACTTATTATAAAGGATCCTCAGATGTTCTATTATAAGTTAAATTGCCACTAACATAGACATCACTTACTTCTTATAATACTCAACCACAAAGTACTGATCAATCCCAACAACAAATATAAAGGTATTTTTACCTTTGGGGCCTTTTCTACAATAAGTAATTAAACATTTCTAACACTGTATGCAATCCATGTTAATTTATGATGGATTAAAGGAAGGGTAGACAATTTCTACCCACGAGAGGGTAGCAATTAGCAAGCTAGCTTTGAAAGCATGTGATCCCACCCTCCCTTCTCCAAAGCCATCTCCAAATCCGACCTCCTTCAAAACACATGAACCGCCAGAGCAGAGTCTGCAAAGCGCCATGAAAGATGGCGTTAAATTAGCTTATGTCTTAAAGAACATTACATTACAACTACTTTGTATAATAGATGTAAACAACTTATAGAGCTCTTACTTGTACCACCTCACTGCTGTAGATGAATTTCGCCGTTAATAGTGTTGACAGAAATGCATAAATCCGAGTGAACGGCTTCGGGTTGAACATCACGAGTTGCCATCTCTTAATTATGGTCACAACACGGTGTGAACGCAGCTTAAGCTCTTTGTTTTGTTTCAGGAGGAACTGTAAAAGACAGATGCTGTTTGTTTGAATTGCTATGGTATTTTGGTGGGAACTGGATGCCATGGTCATTTTTGTATAGCCTATTTATACCAAAGACGGTAGTATTGAGTAATGCAGTATGTCTCTGTTGCTTTTCCTGAGGCTATTAAAGTTTTATTAAAGGTTTATTTGTCCAATGACATGCCTACAATTTTCATAAACCTGTTTTTGGACAGGTTATAAGATTCTTAAAACCCAAATTCTAAGAAAACCACACATGTACAGTTGGAGTGAGTCATACTGTAAACATCTCTGGATCATATTAACCCTAAAAATGTGGCAAATTACAGCGACAGGTTCTGCGAAGTGTATGTGGCTGCTCCCCTGAGATGGTTCGAAGAAAACTCCTCATCTTATCTTTATGATGAGTGATTTGTGAACATTGTGAGGCGAACTATTTTTCCTCATTATTGAGCCAAAATTGTTGCGGACATAGATTGATTCCAGGGCATGTGATGCGGGAACTAATGAACAATACTTCAGCATTTATTAATCTTAGTTAATATTAATTTCAACATTTACTAAAACGTTATTAAAATTTTATTATAATAATTATTAAAGGTTGTATTTGTTAAAATTAATGCACTGAACATGAACAAACAATGAACAGCTGTATTTTTGTTAACTAACATTAACAGATAATAACAAATGTTTTGCTCATTGTTAGTTCATGTTAGTTAATACATTAATTAATGTTTACTAATCAACCTTATTGTAAAGTGACACATACATCATTGAACCGCAATCATGATATATCCCAAGGCTAAAAACTCAACCTAGCCTCAATTTCAGGAAATTATTATGCAACCCATACATGTATATAAGTGTTGCCTTGAAGTTTCACACTACAACAGTATTGCAACATGCTAAATTGTAAAGCAAACAGAATCGAAGCGGCTACAGCCTTCCTTCCACTTGACTGTTGATCAAATCTGAACTGTCATCATCATGGTAATTTTCACAACTCTGAGTCTGAACAAACACCATATTGTAACTAAGTCTGAGATTTAAAAAAATGGAGAAGGAAATAAAGAAACCCTGGTCATAAATAACTTACAGTTTTCATGTTGACTCACGCATCAGGTTGAACACAACCCCACATATGTTAAAATTAGACAGCTTTGCTCTCTGTAAACTTTAAAATAGCTTCTTCTGCCATATTTCTTCTTCCTAGGCTGTTAATTCACTTGGCCACAATATAGGACCTATTATGCTTTTTTACATTCTCAACTTGCTTTGGAGTCGCTCCAAAGGCAGTAATTCTCTATATCATTGCGCATGCAGTTTCTGAACTCCCTGAAACGCCTCGTTGCAGTCTTGAGTTTTCTTCCGGGAGGGTACACATCACAATATCTCTCATTTTAATCCCGCCCAAGGTATAAACAGGCAAGAACTGGTTGAGTTGTGTCAGTATCCAGTAGTGTTTTGCAACTCACAGTTATGCTAAGAGATGTGACATTTGCAAAACATGCTCTAAGCGCTTCACCAATCACAACACACTGGTCCAGCCGGAACAGAGTTACTGACAGACTGGGAAGAGAGGGGCTGCAACCATCAAATACAGGTATTACAAACATTCAAGCATGTAAACCAATCGCAGGGCCCAAAAAACGAAATCAAGACTATGTAAAAGGGCATACATGTAGGTCCTTTTTAACAAACCACTATGTCAGAATCCTCTTCCCTTTCAGAAAAACTGTACAAACTTGTTCCATTACATGTGCAGTGTGTCACTGTGGCAGTGCTGTTAAAGGGACAACTTTGTTCTATTTATCCGTAATATTAAATACTGTCAGACAGCTTCCTTATAGCCCCTAAAAGGAGCATATTCATACTTTAGAGTAACTATTTAATATAGGCCCACACTGAAAAATAACATGATATCCTATAAATGCCCCCACCCCCCACTCCATATTTTGTCTGTTTGTTAAATATCTCTGATTCATCAGCTGCTATGTTTTATGTAAATAACCAGAAGAATAACAAGAAGTTGTTTCATTATCAGTCATTGTGGGATGTGGAAATGAAGCCTCATTAACGCACTGAGGCTTTCCCTATACAGCACATCTAGAAATTCGAGTGTTGAAAACAACGCCATCTGCTGGCTACTACATAATGAAGCAGCCAAAAGCCTGTGAAAGAAGCTCCGTAGGATGACATATCCACCACGCACGTGTGTGATGACTTTCTCTCTCTCTTTGATAAATCCATGAACCCATGCAAGTGTGGCAATAAATGTCACAATATGATGTAATATAAAAATAATGTACACACTAAATTTGCAGTATTTTATTTGCGGAAATAATTGAAAATCTTCGACTGTGTATTTTAAAATTTAATTGAATAGATTTTACTCATAAAATAAGATTTGGGGTTCGAACATTCCCGAAACGCAAAGCGAATAGCGCAAGTGATTGGAGTTGGGCGGAAAGTGAGGTTTCGTTTGCTACCCGTTCACGTGACTCATTCAGTAAAAGAAAAACACTCCCACTGGACACACAGCTCCACTGGAGATTTTTCTGTGCTCGATTCATGCTACGAAGGTAACACCAATATCAGTCACACTCACAGCATGACAGAGAAAACACCTTTTATGTCGTTCCACGCAAAGTAATAGGGCTTGGGCGTCGTGACGTCATCACTGGCGTGGCGGCCATGTTGGCAGCTTCGCGCATTTAAACATACAGCAAGTCGAACGAGGAGAAGCAGCAGAGTTGGGATAAAGAAAAGAAAAAAAGAAGTTAAAATCCATAAAAGGTTGTGGAATTTACCAGGATATGTTAAATAAGGAAGCCAGGGAACGGTATGTGGACTAAACCGGCACTTTTAACAATGGTTTGGATCCATATGAACTTTCCAACAAAGTGTCGGCAAACAGTGGGAACACAGTAATCCGAACTGATAGTTAGTAACGTTA